TGCCCATCTGCATTTCCTCTTTGGAAAAATATCTATTCAGTTCTTCTGCTCACTTTTTAATCAGATTGTTTGCTTTTTGGCGTTGAGTTGTATGAGCTGTTTATGTATGTTGGATATTAACCCCTTATCAGTCATATCATTTGCACGTATCTTCTCCCATTCAGTAGATTTTTGTTTGTTTTGTGGATGATTTCCTTTGCTGTGCAAGAGCTTTTAAGTTTAATTAGGTCCCATTTATTTATTTTTGCTTTTATTTCCTTTTCATTAGGAGCTGGATGAAAAAAAAAATGCTGCAGTTTATGTCAAAGAGTGTTCTGCCTATGTTTTCCTCTAGGAGTTTTATAGTATCAGTCTTACATTTAAGTCTTTAATCCATTTGAGTTTACTTCTGTATGTGGTGTTAGAGAATGTTCTAGTTTCATTCTTTTACAGGTAGCTGTCCAGTTTTCTCAGCACCACTTATTGAAGAGATTGTCTTTTCTCCATTGTATATTCTTGCCTCCTTTGTCAGACATTAATTGACTGTAAGTGCATGGGTTTATTTCTGGACTTTCTATCCTATCCCGTTGATCTATGTGTCTCTCTTTGTGCCAGTACCATGCTGTTTTGATTACTGAACTTTGTAGTATAGTCTGAAGTCAGGGAGTATGATTCTTCCAGCTCTGCTCTTTCTCAGGATTGTTTTGGCTATTAGGGGTCTTTTGTGTTTCCATTGCAAATGTTTAAATTATTTGTTCTAGTTCTGTGAAAAATGCCATTGATAACTTGATAGGGGTTGCATTGAATCTGTAGGTTACCTTGGGAAGTATGGCCATTTTAACAATATAATTCTTCCAGTCCATGAGCATGGTATCTTTCCATTTGTATCATCTTCAATTTCTTTCATCAGTGTCTTAGAGTTTTCCAAGTACAGATCTTTTGCCTCCTTAGGTAGGTTTATTTCTAGCTTTTTTATTTCTTTTGATGTGATGCTAAATGGGATTGTTTCTTTCATTTCTCTTTCTGATAGTTTGCTATGAGTGTATAGAAATGCAACAGGTTTCTGTATATTAATTTTTTATCATGCAACTTTACCAAATTCATTGATGAGCTGTAGTAGTTTTCTGGTGGTGTCTTTAGGATTTTCTATCTGTAATATCATGTCATCTGCAAACAGTGACAGCTTTACTTCTTCCTTTCCAGTTTGGATTTTTTAAAATTTTTTTATCTTCTCTGATTGCTGGGGCTAGGACTTCCAACTATGTTGGATAAAACTGGCAAGAGTGGGCATCCTTGTCTTGTTCCTAATTCAAAGGAAATGCTTTCATCTTTTCACCACTGAGTATGATGTTAGCTGTGGGTTTGTCATATATGACCTTTATTATGTTCAAGTGTGTTCCCTCTATGCCTACTTTCTGGAGTTTTTTTTTTATTATAATTAGATGTTGAATTTTATCAAAAGCTTTTTCTGCATCTCTTGAAATGACCATTTAGTTTTTATTCTTAATTTTTTTAGTGTAATGTATTACATTGGTTTGCAGATACTGAAAAATCCTTGCATCTCTAGGATAAATCCCACTTGATATGGTGTATGATCCTTTTAATATATCGTTGTATTCTGTTTGCTGCTATTTTGTTGAGGATTTTTGCATCTATGTTCATAAGTGATATTGGCCTGCAATTTTCTTTTTTGTGATGTCTTTAGTTTTGGTACAGTGTGATGCTGGCCTCATAGAATGAGTTCAGAAGTGTTCCTTCCTCTGCAATTTTTTGTAATAATTTCCTTCTTTTCTTTCTTTTCTTTTCTTTCTTTTCTTTCTTTTCTTTCTTTTCTCTTTCTTTCTTTCTTTCTTCCTTCCTTCCTTCCTTCCTTCCTTCCTTCCTTCCTTCCTTCCTTCCTTCCTTCCTCTCTTTCTCTCTTTCTCTTTCTTTCTTTCTTTTCATGTAAAAAACAATTGCATTAGTTGCCTAGGGCTGCCATAGTAAATTACCACAAACTGGGTGGTTTTGTTACCGAACCAGGTTGGTTTGCCCACTTGCAGCAAGCTGAAATGTCTAGATGAGATTTGCAGTGGCGAGGCTATTCGCAAGGCAGCCAACTGAAGAGAAAACAAGTCTCTCGCCTTTTTCCCCCAAACCAAGGGGATTTATTGGAATAGTTTCTGAAGGATAGGTGTTAACTTCTCTGAATGTTTGGTAGAATTCACTGGTGAAGCCTTCTGGTCCTGGACTTTTGTTTGTTGGGAGTTTTTGAATTACTGACTCAATTTCAATACTGGTAATTGGTCTTTTTGCTTTTGATCATATGTTTTGATACACAGTACTGTTTAGTTTCGGTGAATTCCAATTTATCTGTTTTTTTCTTTGGTTGCTTGAATCCAGCCACCACTTGAGATCCCTCTAACCCAGCCCCACACAGCAGCTAGAGGGAGCTTTCAAAACTTATGTCCTCTCATGCTCAAAACAGCGCTGTGTTTGTGATTTAGAACAGTGCTTCTTGAATCAAATATGCAAAGGAAGCATCTGAAAAATCTTGCAGAATATAGATTCTGATTCAGGAGGGGGATGAGACCTGAGAATCAACACATCTACCAAGCTTCCTGGTGATGTTGTGGCAGATTGTGTTTTCCAAAAATGACCACAGCAGTATTTCCTGTTGTTACTGAACTGAACTTGAGTCCGCTTGCTCGCTGCACAACAAAGCCAATCTACTGACACCAGGTTGTGGTGAAGGAAAGTACAGTATTTATTTGCAAGTGGCAAGCAAGGAGAATGGGCAGCTTGTGCTCAAAAGACCCAAACTCCCTAGTGGCTTTCAGGGAAGGGTTTTTAAAGGCAACATGTGGGGTTAGGGCTGCAGGGTATGTGACTTTCTTCTCATTGGTTGGTGGTGAGGTAACAGGGTGATGTTTTAGGAACCTAACCTGATTCCAACCAGTCTGGGGTCTACTAGCTTGTGGTCCATGTACTCACCATCCTCCACCTGGGTGGGGGTCTTAGTTTCTGTAGAACGACTCAAAGCTGTGCATCAAATTATTATGTATATCCCCTGAGGAGGAACTAGCACTTTGTTTGATCACTGAACCATTGTTTAAGCCATCATTACTTTTCCTGATTGACTGTTTTCCCTTTGTTTCTGCATTCCTTTCCTTCCCTAATTAGTAAACTATTTGAGTCTGCTCTTTGCAACTCAAGGAAGGTCTAGGAGACTAAAGCCTTTTTCTACAAACAAGAAATAAGGGACATGGAGGGGCTTTCATACCCAGGAGGGCCCCATAGCACCCTGCTCCATTTCACTGACCCACACGCTTCCAGAACCTTGTGTTCCCCCATAAAAAGGTGGAAACCATTTCCCCATCCCCTGAACCTTTGCAGTTGCCTCAACAAGTGGAATGTGGTGAGGGTCACTGCCTGGCACCTGAGGCTAGGTTTTATAAGGCAGTATGGCTTCTGCCTGGCTCTCTATTCTTTGTATTTGCCTTTGGAACCCACCCACCACACTGTGTGAAAGCCAGTCTCTCCCGCGTAGAGAGATGCATGCCATAACCGAGGCCCCTGCCCATAGCCAGCATCAACTACCAGACATGTGAGTGGTGGTGCCTTCAGATGGTTCCAGCTGAAGCGCAACAGCTCTTCTTTGAACAGAGAGGAGTTACCCTTGCAGACTGCAGATTCATGAGCAAAATACATGTTATCATTGCTTAAAACAGCTGAGTGTGCAGTCATTTATTATATAGCAGTAGATAGCCACAGCAACGCTGATCCTGCCGGTCCATGGACCACACTCTGAATAGCAAGGAGCCAGACCGCTAGATCATCCAGGACCTGTGTTTATGCAATTTTTCTACTTGTTATGCTCTTCCCACCCTCTTTCTCTTTCCCATTCTCTTTCATTCTCTGATAGCTCCCCAAAGAGCTCTCTCCTCAGGCTGGAGCCCTCCACCTGCTGGGCTGGGCAGCTTTTCTACAAATGTGGAACTGGGCAGGAGTTACATTTGCAGCCCTGCTTCTTGGCTTCCATCCTCAGGTATCTTCCTGTCTCCTGCAGGTGGAGCTGTGATGCCCTGCAGTGCGTCTGGGAACATCGATGAAGCCTCACCGCGCATCTGCTCACACCCACATTCCATTTTCAAACGTTTGAAATAGTGCCACGCAAGAGAAATACAACGGGAGCTACTTATGTAATTTTAAGTTTTCTAGCAGTCATATTTAAAAACATAAAAAGAAGTAGATGAACAAGCATAGAAAAAGATGTTCAACATCATTAATCATTAGGGAAATGCAAGTCAAAACCACAGTAAGGTACCACCTCACATCCACTAGGATGACTATCATGAAAAACAGAAAAAGAACAAGTGTTGGCAAGGAGGTGGAAAACCGGGACTCTCACGCACCGTTGGAGGGGAGTGGCAAATGGTACAGGCACTGCGGAAAACAGTATGGCACTTCCTCAGATAATTTGGTATAGAACGACCGTACGACCCAGCGATTCCACGTCTGGGTATATATACCCAACAGAACTGAAAGCAGGGACTTGGATAGATATTTGTACCTGCTTGTTCATAGCGACGTTAGTCACAATAGCCCAAAGGTAGAAACAATCCAAGTGCCCATCGACAAACAAAATGTGACTGTACATACAATGGAATATTATTCAGCCTCAATAAGGAAGGAAATTCTCATACATGCTGCAACATGGATGAACCTTGAGGATATTATGCCAAGTGAAATAAGCCAGTCCCCAAAACACAAATACTGTGTGATCCTACTCACAGGAGGTCCCGAGAGTAGTCAAATTCATAGACAGACAAAGTAGAAGGGTGTTTGCCAAGGGCTGTGGGAAGGGGGAATGAGGAGTTATTGTTTAATCAGTATGGTTTCAGTTTTGCAAGAGGAAAACACATTCACACAATATGAATGTATTTAACTACTGAGTTGTACACTTAAAAATGGTTAAAATGGTAGCTTTTATGCAATGTGTATTCTACCACAATAAAAAAGTTTAAAATAAACAGGTGAGGTTGATTCTAGTCATATTTTTATTTATCTCAACATACTCAAAATTGTCACTTCAATATGTAATTAATTTTTACAACTATCAGAATGCTGAATATTCTGTTTATCATACCAAGCTCTAAAATTCAGCGTGTATGTTACACTTAGAGCGCACCTCTGTTAGGGCTGGCCACTTTTCAAGTGCTCAACAGCCATCTGCACACATCTCCATCATATTTGGAAAGACCCTTGTCTCCCCTGCAACACATCTGCAGGGCATCTGCAAATACACCTAGAGTTTCCCGGCAAACCTCCCACATCATCTGCAAACACACCCCCCACAGCTCAACACCTCCATCTCATCTCAGACATCTTTAGGAAAAGCTCTTGCTCAAGGAAGGCACGCCAATTCCAAATCGACATTGGCAGGTTGATTTGACCTGCAAATCCCCCCACCTTCTTTGCATAAACTTGCATATCATTCATGTGTCCCTCGGAAGCACATTGGCTGGGCCTCAGATAGTCATCTCAAAGTCGGGGAGGCGTTGGCCTGGGGCAGGGCTCGAGGCCCCCTCCTGCTTCCCTTCCAGCTCTCTGTCCTCTTCCTCGATGCTCTCCTCCTCCTCCTCTTCCAGGAAGGTGACGAGTTCTTCCCGAAGCGCCCCCATTTCCAGCCCCAGGCTGCACAGCTGGCCCAGCAGCTGGACATCCACTCGGCGGAGATTCCCCTGTGAGTGGGAAGGGGGAGTCATGGGCACCCCACCTCAGAGGGCGAGGGGTTAGTGTGCCCCCACCTTGAACCCTGGGTGGGAGTGGCTCCCAGCTCAAGCCCCGGCATAGATCTTTGCCTGACCAAACTTTAGACGGGATCCTGAACATTTTCCTGGGCCCATCAGCACTTCCTTGTGAAATCCAGTTTTAGCAAGACTCCCCCTCCTCCATATCTGATCATTCTCTCAATATCTGATCAGGTTCCTTGCCCTCCCCACTCCTCCAGGTGATGGCTGCTCACCCGGGCCAGCCTTCAGCAAGAATCCTGCTAGGTTGGTTTAGCCAGAATCCCCCCTAGCCCCAGATGTTTCCTCTTAGGAATTTTCTGTCCCCTGACCCCTCCCCTGCTCCTTGGCTGTAATTTTCCTCTTGCCTATGCTGCGTTCGGAGCTGAGCGCATTCTGTCTCCTTTACTGCAAAATCCCACCGCAGGGATCCCCATACTTAGGGCCTGGCCATCTTTCACAAGTGTCATCAATTACTTTTCTTTAAAGGTCCTGGCCCACAGCACGTGGGTGGAGTCCTCACTGTGTCCCTGGACTTTAACTGCCATCCTCTTCTGTCTCTGATCTCTGCCTCTGTCTCCCTCTGTCTTGGCCTCTCCATTCCATTGGCCCTCACTGTCCCCATCTCTCTTTCTCTCTGTGTGTCTTTGAGTCTGTCTCTTTGTCTCTCTTATTCTGTCTCCCTCTCTTGTTATCCCTCTCTGTCTCTCTGTCTCTGCTTGACTGTCTCTTTCCCTACTTCTCTAATCCTGTCTCTCACTTTCTGTCTTTCAATCTGTGGCCTTTTTATTTCCATACATTCCCCATCAATCATCCATTCTCTCCACCTCCATCTCTTGCCCCTCCAAACCCCTCACTCACCAGCTCCTCCCAGATCCACAGCAGACTCTCCCTGGCACTTCCAGTGTCAGCCCCTGGGAACATGAGGGTCTGACCCACCTTCTCCACTGGGGGGAACCCGCTCAGGGCCCGGGGAGGTGGGCCCAGCCCCGGAGGCACCAGTCCAGCCTGCCTCAGCTGCTTCCACAGCTCCATAGTCTTTGGGTAGTGACAGCCAAGAGCAGGAAGTAGCAAGGTCCAGAGTGACCCAGTCCCCCAGGGAGCTGGGGGGAGGGGAGTAAAGGGCAGTAGGGGTGGGGGAGGGTTCTGGGCATCCCAAAGTCCATTTTCCCCTGAGAATCAGCAGCCTCGTGTGGGTTTTGGTTTTTTTGTTTGTTTTTCATGCTGAAGTTTAACTTAAACTCTGTTCTTAAGAATCCAACCACAGCCCCTTTGGCGGAGATCAGACACCACTGTCCCTGACTCTTCTCAGGCAGGACCCCTCACCGGGTGTGTGGATGCGCTGCCTCATCCTTCCCGCCCCCTCCTGGGTCCCTCCCACTGCTCCTTCCCCAGCCTCCCCTGCAGCCTTCTCCACTTGACCTCTGGCTTCCTCCTGCTGGGTTTTTGCCTGTATTCTCCACTCCGGCCCTCCCACAGCTCCCTGATCCGTGGGCCTGAGGAGCCAGAAGTGGCTTCCAAGAGAACGATTCCTCAGCTGCAGTGCCTCGGTGTCCAGGCTGCTGGCCCACAGCTGAGCAGCCAGTTCCGCCCACCCTAGACTTGCCTGCGGTCTTTATCACTAGCGTCTTGGGCCCTGCCACGGAGAAGGTCAGGATGCACTGTGGGCCACCCTCAGCTAGAACCCCTCTTTCAGGGGTGTGAAAATTCCGCCTATATGTCAATGGCTCCCCCGTCTCTGACTCTAGTCCTGACCCCCAGACCTTTACTCAGCATCTCCACCTGGACGTCTCAGCCATCTCAAGGTGAATATGGTCAAAACAGATCTCTCAGCTGAGACCTACCCCACTATTAGTTTCCTATTGCTGTTGTGACAAATCACTACAAACTTAGTGGTTTAAAACAACATAGAGTTGTTATCTTATAGTTCTAGAGGTCAGAAGTCTGGAGTGGGTCCACAGGGCCGGGTTCCTTCTGGAGGCTCCAGGGAAGAATCCATTTCCTAGCCTTTCTTAGCTTCTAGAAGCCACCTGCATTCCTTGGCTCATAAGCCCTTCCCTGCGTCCTTCCAACCTCTTGCACCTGTCATCACATCTCCTACTTCTTGACTCTTCTGCCTCCATCCAAATAGGACTCTCGTGATTACATTGGGCCCATCGAGATCATCCAGGATAACTTCCCCATCTCAAGATGCTTAATCACATCTTCCCTTTACCATATAAAGTAACATATTCACAAGCTCCGGGAATCAAGATGTGGATGGGGGGGGGGGGGCGCTATTCAGCCTACCACACCTGCCCTTCTGTACCTGCTGCTTTCCCAGTTTCCCCATCTCCATAAATGGCATCACTATTCTTTTAGTTTCTCAAGCTATTGGCTTTGTCCTCAAAACACTCATAACCTGGGCACTTCTCACCATTTCCATTGCCCCGTTCCTGCTACTGCCCACAGGACTCATCTCCTGCCTGGACTATTGCAGTAGCCTCTTCCCTGAACCCTGCTTTCCCCCCTTGCCCTCTAAGGTCTGTTTTCCACTGGGCAAAATGATCCTTAGAAAATGTAAATCAGATCATGCCCCTGCAAATGGAATAAAGTAGTCAGCTTCTTGCTCACCTCTCTGACCCAGTCTCCCACCTCTCTCTGCAAGCTGGTCCCACCTCTGAGCCTTTGCACTAGCTGTTACCTCTGCCTGAAACACATTTCCCCCAGATCTTCTTTTTTTAATTTATTGAAGTATAGTCAGTTTACAATGTTGTGTTAATTTCTGGTGTACAGCATAAATTTCAGTTATACCTATACATACATATATTCATTTTCATATTGTTTTTCATTATAGGTTACTACAAGATATTGAATATAGTTCCCTGTGCTATACAGAAGAAACTTATTGTTTTTCTATTTTATATATAGTAGTTAGTATCTGCAGCTCTTGAATTCCCAATTTATCCCTTCCCACCCCCTTTCCCCGCTGATAACCATAAGTTTATTTTCTGTGAGTCTGTTTCTGTTTTGTAATAAGTTCATGTCTTTTTTTTATTTTTTAGTATTCCACATAAGAGTGATATCATATGGCATTTTTCTTCTCTTTCTGGCTTACTTCACTTAGAATGATGATCTCCAGGTCTATCCATGTTGCTGCAAATGGCATTATTTTATTCTTTTTTATGGTTGAGTAATATATATATATATAATATATATATATATCTCACATCTTCTTTATCCAGTCATCTACTGATGGACATTTAGTTTGCTTCCATGTCTTGGCTATTGTATATATTGCTGCTGTGAACATTGGGGTGCATGTGTCTTTTGGAATTAGAGTTCCCTCCAGATATATGCCCAGGAGTGGGATTGCTGAATCAAACGGTAAGTCTATTTTTATTTTGGGGGGGAATCTCCATACTGTTTTCCATAATGGCTGTACCAAACTACATTCCCACCAACAGTGTAGGAGGGTTCCTTTTTCTCCACACCCTCTTTAGCAAAACAACCCCACGATGGTTAGATACGTATTGTCAGGCCCGAGGGACTCTTTCATCCTTGTCAAGGGGAGTGCTAACCTTCTCTCTTTCATACGACACTCCCCCAGATCTCTGAATGGCTGTTTTTCCGCTTAAATGTCATCTCTTCACAAAGGTCTTTGCCGATGGCCCTATGCCCTAGTCACTCCCTTTTATAGTGCCTGTTTTTATTTGCCTCTTATCAAACACTGTCTGAAATTATCTTGCCTATTCATTTGTTTCTTAACCATCCTCTCTCTGCCTGGAATGTTGACTTCCTGACGAAGAAGGTTGGTCTGCCCTGTTTACCACGGCAACCTCAGTACCGAGAACAGTGCCTGCCACGTGGTAGAGACTCAGTAAATATTTGTATAATGAATGAATAATTCTATCCATAAGACTTCGTATTGAATTTTCACGCCAAGTTCTAGCCTTGAACTCCAAGCTAAAATTGTGAACACATCACAATGCTAGTCTTGAGATCCCACTTCTGTCCCCTACCTAGATCTAACCTCAACACCCACCACCCACACCTTTCCCGTCCCTGACCCTGCTTTAAAGAAAGAAGCCAACAGTTTCTTAGCGCATCATTCCCTTTTCTAGGGAGGTAGCAAGCCAGAGCTAGAGGAACAGGAAAGCTGAGGGGGGCTGTGAGTGCAGTGGGAGGTCAGGAAGGTACTCCAACAGGAAGGAATGCCCACCCTCTTCTAGGGAAACGCTGCGGAGTCCCACATACTAAGGCCCGTGGAAGAAGGGACGCCAACCGATCCTTAACCCCGAGAAGAGTGAAAAGTGTGTGTTCCTTTAAGAGGAGGGTTGGAAAACGGAGGGGGCGTGGCCATGAGAAAAGACGCCCGAGTCTGAATCGGTTGGGTAGGATTGAAAAAAGGCCAGCCCCTTCCGGTTACGTAGTCTGAACAAGATGGTGGCGCCAAGGACGGTGGGTGACCTCAGCTAGAGCTCCTAAAATTAGCCCCTCTGCCTTCAGGGCCTCTGTCGGCCCCCAGGAAGCAAGGAGCAGGAGGGAGCAGGGGGCCTGTCCCTCTAACTCTCACGCTGAGCGGAGACGTGTGGCCGCAGGGGGTCGGGAAGGATCCGTGCGGGTCACAGACCGCGGAGGAGAGAGACCAGTGGGGAAGCAGGGCGTTCGGTCTGAGAAAGCGCGCCCAGCCAGTTAGGAAGGGATCCGACTGCGGGCGGGTGAGAGTGGGACCTGCAAGGGATGAGGGTTTGGAAGGGACTGGCCGAGAAACTGGGATTTAAGGTCCTAGGTTAGGGGACCAAAGGATACAAGTGAGGGCGACTCTTGGGAGAGTTAGGAATTTTGATGGAAAGCCAAAGGGATGATGGGGGTAAGGGGGGCAGGAACCAAGAGGTGAATTTGGGAATTCCAAGGAAGGACCTATTAGAAATTAAGGGGAGAATTTGCCATATTGGTGGAGAGAATTTAGGAAGAATGGGCAAAATCAAGGGATAGACTTAACGAAAAATTAAAGTAAGAGGTTGGCAAGGTTCACAGCCGCACTATATACAACAGCCAAGACATGGAAGCAACCTAAATGTCCATCCACAGATAACTAGATAAAGAAGGCTGTGGTGTATTTATACAATGGAACACTACTCAGTGATTTAAAAAAAAGAATAAAATATTGCCATTTGTAGCAACATGGATAGACCAGGAGATCTTCATTCTAAGTGAAGTAAGCTGGAAAGAGAAAGAAAAATACCATATGATATCATTCATATGTGGACTCTGAAAAAAAAAGAAAAAAGGACACTAATGAACTCATCTACAAAGCAGATTTGCAGACATAGTAAACAATCTTACGGTTACCAGAAGGGAAGAGGGTGGGAAAGGATAAATTTGGGAGTTTGAGATTTGCAAATGTTAGCCACTATATATAAAAGTAGGTATAAAAAAGCAGATTTCTTCTGTATAGCACAGGGAACTATATTCAATATCTTGTAATAACCTTAAATGAAAAAGAATATGAAAACGAATATATGTATGTATACGTGTGACTGGGACATTGTGCTGTGCACCAGAAATTGACACATTATAACGGACTATACTTCAATTACAAAAAAAAAAAGCTAGATGACATTCAATTAAAAAATAAATAAAGTGAGCTTGGGAGCTTAAGAGGAATTTTGAAGGAAAATAAGAATTTGGGCAAAATTATCAGGAGAATGTTGTTAAAGCAAAAGGAGAAATGGAAGAGGCTAAGAGAAAACTTTGGAGGGGAAATTGAAGGAAGAGTTTGGGAGCTTTAACAAGTTAAGGGTGGTTTGGAGAAAAGATTATATTTGGGGTAAAGGAATGTGTTATTCAGGAAGATTCTGGGGAGAACTGGATAAAATTAAGAGGAGAATTTGTGGGAAACTAAGAGGTCAGATAATAGAGGGTTTGAGAGGAAATAAGGGTTTGGGGGAAATTAGGGGGAGAATTTGGGGAAACCAAGAATATTTGGCCAAATCAAGGAGAATTTGGGGAAGAACTTGGGGGAAACATGAGGAAATTTTGTGGATCCCAGAGAATTTGGAAGTTCTGAATGGAGAATTAAGTGAGCAGGAAAGCTTTGGGGAGGGGGGATTTGTGGAGCAAGCACAGGGGGATCTCACTGTGTGTCTCACAGGAGGCTCCAGGCTCAGCCCCTCCTCCCGTCTCCTCTTCCCCAGTCCCTGCGCCTGGTGGCCCCGGTATGGAACCGGGGTGCCGGCAGCATCCGTGGCCTGAGCAGGGCAGTGGACCCGGAGGGCAGTCAGAGGAAGGAGAGGACGCTGTTCCAGTTCCTGGCAGACCGATTCTATGACGTGGCGGCCTTGAGGGAGTACATGCTCCAAAAGCAGGTGTTGAAGGTGCACCAGAAGAATCGGTGAGAACCCCTGGCCTGCAAGACCCTGCTGCTCAGGCCTCCCTAGTCGGTGCCCACCCTGCCCTTGCCACTCCAGGCAGTGCCAGCTGTGCCCACTTGGCAGCATCATCTCCAGCTCACACCTTTCCCACACTCCAGCTCATAAAGGCAGCCTGCCGCCCATCTCCTCTTGGAGTTCGAGCTGGCACTTCAGACTATGTGGCTAGCGGCACACCCTTGATTTCCCCCTAGAAAGTCTTCTCACCCCAAGCCTTCTCCATCCCAGTGAACAGCCACATTCTGAGGAGTCATCCCTGATTCCTCTCTTTCCATCCCTTCCGTCCACATCCAGTCCATCAGTAAAATACTAGAATGTCACAGGTTTGCCCAGCGGTCATCTCTTACCTGGTCACCTCTTGCCCCTACAGTCTGTCATAGTCTCCAAAGCAGCCAGAGGACTCTTCAGAGAGCAGAATGGGTCACATGACCGCTTTGCCTCAAACCCTCAAATGGTTTCCAGTTGCAACTAGAATAAAAGCCAAACTCTGAGGCTGAAAACCTGGCCCCTACTGAGCTTTGAGACCTCCACCAGGGACTCCCCCCACCCCGTCAGCTGATGGCCTTATTGCTATTCATTCAGCCATCCTAATTCAAGCCTCCAAGCCTTTGCACTCACTGTTCCTTGGCCTGGCAGACTCTTGCCTTGACGTCTGCGTTCCTTCTCCCACTCATTCTCTGCTCAAGTGTCATTTCCTTCAAGAAGCATTTCTTCATTTTTTTCCTATCATTACATCATTTTTATTAGTGATTCTTATACTGTGAAATATTTGCTACATTTTTTGATGACATTCATAGTTCATTCAGAAACAGGCTTTCTGGGTTTCGGTAGGTGCATGAATACTAATTACTACACAAATATAAAACTCTTGTTATTCTGAAATAAGTTTCCTCAAGATTATTTTTATGTGGCTAGAATGACAAGTCATGAAATAGAACAGAAATTTCCATTTGAATATAACTCTTTATTCCTAAGAAGCATTTCTTAACATCCAAACTAAATTAGCCTCCTCTGTCCCTACCCCTGACCCAGGCCACTCCTAGTCTGTTCTTCTGTGTTAAAATCAGCATGGAATTGATACTCTGCAGTTTGTTACTTGTTTCCCCCAGTGAAATAACTACACAAGGGCGGGGCTGGTTATCTGCCTTGATCACCACCGTCCCCAGGTGCCCAGCACCTAACAGGCACTCAGTAATTATTTGCAGTCTGAGTGTGTGTGTCCCCCTGCCTGCCTGCCTGCGTCTTGTGCTGTGGACTCTGACCGTGTCAGCAGCGCGGGGGCCTGACGACAGGTGTGGTGCTGCCAAGCCTTATCCTCACTCTCCTCCCGGCAGGTCCTTCACCTACATCAAGGAGCGATACGGCCCGTACGTGGCAGGTGCCCACTTCATCCTGAAGCAGGGAGGCGCAGTCAAGTATGACGGCAAAGGTGCAGAACGGGGTTGGGGGAGGCGGGAGAGCGGCTCCAAGCCCCAGGCTCTTCAATCAGACAGGCTTCTATGCGCCCCCCAGTCTCTGTCCCCACCTAGCTGTGTGACTTGGGACTTGTTCCTGAGCTTCAGTTTTGTCATCTGTAAAATGGGTTTGCTGTAAAGATTCAAAGCCATTTTGCAATTCAGACAGTTGTAACAGGCCCGGCCTGGCACGTGTGCTCAGTGTTGATGCTGCTTTTCTTTGCTCTTTCCCCCTTCCTGTCTCATTCTTACCTTCCTCCTCCTCCTCCCTTTTTTCTGCCTTTTTAAATATTTTATTATATATGTTTTTGTTTTGGGGGAGGTAGCTTTATTTATTTATTTATTTTTAATGGAGGTACTGGGGATTGAACCCAGAACTTCATGCGTGCTAGGTATGCACTCTACCTTCCCCCCTACCTTTACTTTTTTGAAAACAAAATTCATGTAAGCTTCATCAACCCCTCATCTTGGTTCCAGTTAAGATTCTCACTTGGCTTGAACACTTCCTCCAGCACCCGTCTGAAAATGCCTCAACTTTTGCCCATCTACAGGGAGTCTGGTCTTAGAGCTCTATTCTCTTTTGTTATCGGTAATCTCTTTGACCCTCAGCTTCCAGGTATGTAAAATTAGCCAAACCTTCCACCTTTGATGGGATTGTCAGGGGATCCAATGAGACCAGACACGTAAAGCCCTTAGTCCAGGACCTGGAATATAGTAAGTGCGCCAGGCCCAGTACCGTCGTGCTATGCGGGCTGGGAGCGCTCTCAAGAAGTTGGTGGCCTAGGGGTGGGTAGGGTACCCTGCAAACCCCGTCTTCCGTTCCAGGTTTCAGGACAAGGAGTGGATGCGGTCAAGTGGGCGCGGCCTGTCCTCTCTTGAGTTCTGGGAGTTCCGGGCGGTGCCCATAGAGGCTGTCGATGCCAGTGGCTGTGCCATCAACTACCAAGGCCTGGACCACCTCTGTGAGTGGGGGATGGGGATGGGCAGGGCTCTGCACTTTCCCTTTCGTGGTGAGCTCCAGAAGGGCCCTCGGTGCCATCTGCCCTCTCCCCTATCTAGTGGCCCTGAAGGAGCTCCAGTCCCTGTCGCTGCGGTGCTGTCCCCACGTGGATGACTGGTGTCTTAGCCGCCTCCACCCGCTGGCCGACTCACTGCAGGAGCTCTCGCTGGCTGGTTGCCCCCGAATCTCTGAACGGGGCCTTGCCTGCCTCCACCACCTCCGGTGAGACCTCAGCTCAGGGTGGGCCCCAGGCCAGGCGAGGCGCTACCACCCAGCACAGATACATGGGAGAGGGAGTGGAGAGGGGGCGCCGCTGGGCAGCTCCCGCATCCCTGCCTCCAGGACAGAGTCAGTGTGTGTGGTGATGAGCACAGATGAGCAGCACGGCAGACCCCTGGGAGAACGGAGGACCCCTAGTTTTTTTGTTTTAATGGAACTCCATGATATTTACACTGTTGCAAAACAAGAGGAGCCAGAGGTGTCTGTAACTAACATGGTGGGTCTCATGTACTTGGGCCCTCAGACTTTTATTTTAGGAAGCTGGGGGTTGAAGTGGGGGCGGGGGCAACCCCCTCCCTACCCTGATGCACAGACACGCCATCCTTAGGCGGGCCTCCCTCATCTTGCCTCCTCAGGAACCTCCGCAGGCTGGACATCTCCCACCTCCCTGCTGTGTCCAACCCGGGCCTCACTCAGATCTTGGTGGAGGAGATGCTGCCCAACTGTGAGGTTCTGGGGGCTGGCTGGGCCCAGGGCCTCAAGTTGGGGCTGGAGGAGCAGTCGCAGGACACAGCCAGCAGCCCCATCCCTGCCTAGACTCAGCCTGCGTCAGCAGGGCTGTGCTGAGGGGCCGACAGCCCAGTTCCAGCTTCTAGCCGGTCTCACCAACGTGGGGGTCGGTTGGTCGGTCGGGCGGGCTGAGGGGCCCTGGCGGGATGGAGGGAAAGAGTGTGAGGCGGGGTATTTACTTCCCAACCCAGGGGGCTCTGTACCTTGGGCGGAAGGTCACAGCCCCTGTCAGGCACGCGTACCTCCTTCCAGCTCACAACCTCCTCCTGCCTCTGCAGGCCTGGGGGAGGTGGGGGCTTCCCCACACCGCGCCCACCACTATGTCAAGAAAACTCTGGTCAAATTATCCCATTTGCATGTGCTGCTGTTTCCTGCCGGGACCTGACCAAACAGGGGCTGCTACCCACGTTTTACAAGGTGCTCTTCCCTGTGTGGGACTCAGCTCACCGCAGGACCCAGGCGTGGTCCGCACCAGTGAAGGCTGGGAGCGCCTCAGGTCCACGGTGTTCCTGCTTATTGCATTACTGACTCAGCTCCAAATTCAACTTTCTTGTTTGCTCTGTGAAAATTGATCTGGCCCTTAGAAATATTTTTCCCCTGCTAACTGGCGTGATCAGGTTTGCCAGCAGAGGGCACTGGGAAGACGTTCCTCGTCAGGGGAAAGGCTTTTGCTTCCTGGCTCAGGTGTGCAGCACGGCGCCCCCTGCAGTGCTGGCTCGGCTTCCCCAGTGCCTGGTTCCTGAAGCCCCAGGTGGTCAGCAGCGCCCCCGGCAACACCCCCAACACACACACACACCCGCAGCTTCACGCAGGAGCGCCTGCACGGAGACACCTCCCTGAATGTGTCGCCACAGCTCTGAAGGTGGATTTCCAGTAAATTCTGAGGCACCTTACCAACGAATCCCTTCCTGTTTCAGTTTGCTGTTAAAGTCAATAATTCTTTATATTAAACTTTCCCTGTTCAAAGCACTATGTAGTTTTTCTCTCCGGATTGGATCCAAACTGATACAGGACTGGCATCCGGAGAGTTCCCAGAGATGAACTCAGAGGGACAGGATTTGGGAGTTGGTTTTTCCTGCCTCTGGCTTGAGGGCAGCACAGAAGCCCCTGGCCATAGGCAGAGGCACGTGAGGAACCCAAGGCATGCAGCAGCAGCAGCATCTCAGAAGGGCTTCCTCTGGGGTTGTGATGAGGCACCAGCTGAAGGGCGTGCCCTGGGGGCTCCTAGGCTGCTGTGCTGACCTGTGGCAGTGATGACAGCCCTAAAGACAGTGCTGGGCGGGTTCCCTGGAGTGACTTTGAGCACCCAGCTCAGGTCACTGTCTCAGAACTGGAAAGCCCTCATGACAGCCCCCACCACAGTTCTTTCTTACTTTTAGCTCCAGGGCCGGTAAATGTGCTTTTTCCACAGAAGTTTGTAAGCTGCTAAGGTGCAACAGCTGACTTCCCGGTCTTAAGAAGTTTCTCATGTAAAAGTAAGGACACTGACTGGTAAACAGTGGGACCCAGAAATTTGGAATCAGGTCATCTGGTTGGGCCCAAAAGAATCAGATTCTTGAACCCCCCGGTCACTGCAAGCCCCCCGTTGCCAGTGTCTGAGACCACCGGGGATCCCTGCCCTGGAAGCCCTGTGCTGACCTCTCCTGGGGCAGACGCCCTGGAAAGGGTGACTGCTCTTAAGACTTTCACAAGTGCCTGCTGCTGTCACTAGACCCAGAAATACCAAGGGTCAAGTCTCGGCGCACTCCAGGGGACAGGTGCTCACTATGACCCGAAGGCAACAGCTTTGACACGAAAAGGGGAAGACTTGCAAACATGTAGTGTCAGAACCCTGGGGAACCTGTGCAGGAGTGGGTCCTCGGGGTGTTAGCCAGTGAGGGCAGATCTCACTGGCTGGGGCCCAGTTCACTGGCAGGAGGGCACTTTAGTACTAGATCTACATGTAACGGGTTAGCTAGTGCAGCTGGGGGCAGTCCTGACAGCTCTTCTAGGTTGGCTGACTGGAATTTGGACTCAACAGTGACCTACAACCCCTAAGGCAGGCGAGAAGCCAGAACTGCCCCAGCATCATCTGGAGAGGGACCTGAAGGCTCGGGAGGCAGGAATGCTGGGTTGTGTTCACCATGTTCTACCTGCACATCCCCCTCAACCATGCTCCACAAGGCACCTCTTCATTCTTGAAATTCGACTGTACCTGTTACAGTTGCTGGGTGGTTTCTCTCTCCTCATTGGGTGTCTGCAGACTGATGCACACAGCAACCAAAACCCTCTGCTTCGAGACTTCCCACCGCTCCCAGGAGGGGCAGCTGCCCAGATCGAAGAACCTCCACGCCCTGGGAGGTTCTCTGCTCTGCTAGATGAGCAGAGAGTTAGGGGGCCTGGACCCCCATCCTGGTCTGGGGGAGGCTTGAAGGCCCCTTCCAGGGATGCTCAGGGCCCTGACCCCAGCCCATTCTAGCTTTTATTCCATCAATATTTCCCACCTCCTCTGCACTCACTTCCCCCAGCTGGTCCCATGGGCTCCATTATTCAAACCTGGCAGGGAGGGAATCAGTGCTGGACGGATAATCAACTGCTGCTGCTGCTGCTGAGATGATCGGCAGTCCCCAGCCTGGGTGGGGTGAAGGGTGTCAGGCCAGGCTCGCTGAGGGGCCTTCTGCCCCACCCCAGGAGGTCTGGAATGAGGAGGCCCCCCCTGCCTGCCTCCCCAGACAGCTGATGCAGCCCCAACAGCAGGGGCCTCTGGAGGGCAGGGATGTAAACACAGGCAGACACTCTCTCCCTTCCCAGGGGGCCGGATGTGAGTGTTCCTGGAGTCATGGTGCAGCTGGAGACAGGGCCGGGGCTGGAGTGAGGGATTCCCGCCCCACTGGGCAGGCAGCCCAGGCACCCAAGGGGACAGAGGAGGTGCAGGGGTCAGCTTAGCTCCAGGGCTCCTGGTGCCTCCACCCATCACCCTTCACTGCCCTCTAGCCTGGCTCATGCTCCACCCACCCCTTCCATCTGCCCCACTCCTGGCAGCTCTGGCTCCCTTCTCGGCCTCTCCCTGACTGAGGCTCTTTCCCCCACCCTGCGTCCCTCCACCTGCCTCTCCTCATGTCCCTTTCTACCCTCCCCAACAGGGGCTTCTCTTTTCTCTCGCTGTCTCCATTTCCCCCCTCCTCCGACTCCACTTTCCCATCTCCTCTCCTGGCAGCTCTTTCCTCTTTGCCTCCCCAAGTCCTCTTTGCCTCTCCCTGGCTGTCTCTTCTCTGCACTGTCTATCTCTGCCTGTCTCTCCTCCTCCTCCCCAGCCCCCTTCCCAACCCCCACCCTGACTGGGGGGGAGGGCCGATGACGACACCCCCTACCACTGGCAGGGCCACCCGTGCCCTCTCAGCACATTCACCTCTGCCCCGCCCTCCACCCCCGGCCAGGCCCTGCCACTTTAGGACTCTCTCTGTCCCCGGGCCCTCAGCCCATGGCTCCACCAGCCCTCAGCCTCAGCCTCCCACGGGCTCTCTCCCGGGCCCCTGGTTCTCCCCTCCCCGGCCTGCTGGCCCCCCGTCAGTCTCTGCAGCCACCCCGGCACCTTTCCCGCTGTCTCACCAGAAAACCAGCCCTAACACGTCAGAGCCCCATCTCTCAGGTTGGCCTCCTGCCCTCCTGCCCTCCTCCCCGTTCCCTCTCCCCTCCTCCCTCAGCCCCGCCCCAGCCCCTCCCGGCCCCTGGGGCCCTCCCAGCCTCTAGCTCCCCTCCCCGCCCCGCCGACCGGCTGGGCTGGAGAACAAGGGCAGTAGCTCCAGGACGAGGGCAGGGGAGGCGGCAGGGAGGGCCGGACCAGAGGCCCAGGGCGCTGGAGCTGGCGGGAGCCGGACCCGGAGGTAAAGACAGAGCAGCGCCTGGGGTGAGGACTTGGGCGGTAGAGGGAGGCTGGTTTCTGGTTTCCACGAAGGTGGAAGGAGGGGACCCTGTGATCCTGACTCCCGGTAAGGGGGATGAACTGGTGGGAGAAGGTTGGAAGGGCGGAGTACCAGTCTCTAGGGTGGGGATGGGGTTGAGGATGAGGAAGAGGCAGCCTCCTGAGTTTCTAGGAAGGTGGAAGGAACTGGGCTGATGGTGGAAGAGCAGGGTATTGGAATGGGAGCAGGGATCCGCAAGTCCAGGAAGAGGGGAAAGTCCTTGGTGGAGGGCTGGTTTAGGGTCTGGGACTGTGAGAAGCCTTACTGGGGTTGGCAGGGGCTGGAAGGCTCATCCCTGCACCCCAAAGGCCTCTGTGGTTCCTTTGCAGCTCCCACAGCTGCCCCTTCGCTGGGTCGGGTCATGCGCTGCCCCAAGTGCCTCCTCTGCCTGTCAGCACTGCTCACACTCTTGGGCCTCAAAGTGTACATCGAATGGACGTCGGAGCCTCGGCTTAGCAAGGCCTACCCCGGACCCCGCAGCACCCCGCCAGGCCCCACGCCAGCCTGCCCTGAGCCCACCCTGCCGGCTAACCTTTCAGCCCGTCTGGGCCAAACTGGACCGCTGCCCACGGCTTACTGGAACCAGCAGCAGTGGCGGCTGGGGACCCTGCCCAGCGGGGACAGCACTGAGGCGGGGGACTGCAATGCCTGGGGGGCTGCTGCTGCTGCCGAGATCCCAGACTTCACCTCCTACCCCGAGGACCTCCGCCACTTCTTGCTATCGGCAGCCTGCCGGAGCTTCCCACGGTGGCTGCCTGGGGGTGGCGGCGGCCAAGTGGCCAGCTGCAAGGATTCTGACGTCCCCTACCTGCTACTGGCCGTCAAGTCAGAACCAGGGCGCTTCGCGGAACGACAGGCCGTGAGGGAGACATGGGGCGGGCCGGCTCCGGGGGTCCGGCTGCTCTTCCTGCTGGGGTCCCCAGCAGGCAAGAGGGGGCCTGACTTAGGCTCCCTGGCAGCCTGGGAGAGCCGCCGCTACAGCGACCTGCTGCTCTGGGACTTCCTCGACGTCCCCTTCAACCAGACGCTCAAAGACCTGCTGCTGCTGGCCTGGCTTGGCCACCACTGCCCCAGTGTGCGCTTCGTCCTGCGAACCCAGGACGACGCCTTCGTACACATCCCTGCCCTGCTGGACCACCTGCGGGCCCTGCCGCCCAGCAGGGCCAGAGGCCTCTATCTGGGCGAGGTCTTCACCCAGGCCAAGCCCCTCCGGAAGCCTGGAGGACCCTTCTACGTGCCTGGGTCCTTCTTCGAAGGCAGCTACCCGGCCTACGCGAGCGGGGGCGGCTATGTCATCGCCGGGCGCCTGGCACCCTGGCTGCTGCAGGCAGCGGCCCGCGTGGCCCCCTTCCCCTTTGACGACGTCTACACAGGCCTGTGCTTCCAAGCCCTGGGCCTGGCGCCCAGGACCCACAAAGGCTTCCTCACGGCCTGGCCAGCGGACCGCACCGCTGACCCCTGTGCCTTCCGCGACCTGCTGCTGGTGCGGCCCCTCAGCCCCCAGGACAGCATCCGGCTCTGGAAACAGCTGCAGGACCCTCAGCTCCAGTGCTGAGCCTCGGCGTGGAGGGGCGGGCAGACCTGGCCTGGGTCTCGGCACCGGCCCCTGGCTCAGCCTCTCCTTCCAGTCCTCGGTGTGAAATGGAGCCTGCTCGAGCCCCTCCTGGGCCTCCCTAGGCCAGAGGCCTCCCCAAGAGGCAACGGACTTTCTGTCTTTTTGTTTTTTAAAAATATGCTTTCCCTCCTGAGGCCTGGAGTCGCCTGTATCTGAAGGGTACCAGGGGGTTTTACAGAGCAGAGCTCATCTGTACCCTGACCTTCACACCAGACACCCTCGCCATCCTTACTGGGCAAGGCCAGCCCCGATGGCCTTCTGGTCACCGTGCTGGACACCAGCCTGTCCCCGTTCTATGGGAGACAGGAGCCCATCTCTGTAGGTCCCCCACCCCTACCTGTCTGCTGAAGCTGACCCTCCAGCTTGCAGAAGTTTCCAAGGGAAATAGATAGCTCAACAGCCTAGGCTTCATTTATCTGAAGTGGAAAAGTGGGGGTGGCCCCAAACCAGTCATGCTGGACTCTCCTCCCACGTCCCAAACTCCAGGAGACGGAGACCAGAGGTGGCACAGAGCCAAAGGCAGAGAGACAGTTTATTTACTCCCTGATGGCCACCTCACACTCTAAGTCCCACAGGCTGAGCTGCCACATCCACCCCTAGCCCAGAGGGGGCTTCCAGTCCTCGAGGGGCCCTGGCCCAGCCCCTGAGAGAAGGCCCTGTAACAAAAGCCGGAGAGGGGGCTGACGAGGCCCCACCAATGTAACAGCCTGTAGGCGCGGGGATGGTGAGCAGGAGCCGCCCGGTACTGCCCTGGCCTGAGTATTTTGAGGGGGCTGTGTGGGGAAGGGGTAGCGTCCCTCCAGTCCCCTCTGCCCCTTGGGGTGGTTGAGGCGGGTGGGGCGACCGGCCTCACTTCTCAAAGTGGTCCAGGGGGTAGTGTTCACCGTAGGTCTGGAGGTGACGGGCCAGAGATTCCTGCTGCTTGCGGAGCTGGGGAGGCATCTCCTGATACACGTCCGAGAAGAGCAGGTTGGGGTTGGGCTTCAGCTTCCGCTCAGCCTGCTCAAAGGCCTCCATCACCTGGGAGACAAAGGGCAATAGGCAGGCAGCCAGCCTCCCACCCAGGAACCTGCCTCTTAACTGTGGGACCTGGGCAAAGCGTTATCCCCTGAGCCAAGTGTTCCCATCTGGACAATAGAGATAACTGTCATAACAGTGGTGACCCTAACATCCCAAATCCCAGCATCTCTACCCTTAGCAGGCCCAGGCACCGCACTGAAGAGTACAGAGTCATTTCAGCCTCTCAGCAGCCCTAAGAAGCCGGCAGCTCAGAGGTGAGGAAACCAAGGCACAGAGAAGGGGAGGGACGTGCCCAGGATGATGTAGTCAAGGACAGAGCCAGGAAGCAAGCACTGCCCAACACCAGGGTCTGACCTGCCCACCCTGGGCTGCACGCCTCTGGGGCCTGATGACCAGGGCTAAGGGCTGGGCACCAACTCTGGATGGACCCTCACACTGCACTCAAATTAAATCACCTCTGCTGAGCTTCTGAAGCGGGTACCCCAGTATCTCTCTGCAGAGATGAGGGAGCTGAGGGCAGACAGCGGCCGGGACACAGCAGCACGATGGCAGAGACATCACCGGGGTTACCCCCGAGACCCCCAGCCTCTCCATCCTTCCAGGGTTCTGACGCGCCATCCTGGAACCCAGCCCCAGGGTGGTGGTTTCCCAGAGGGTGGCCCTCCCTTACCTTCCTGCGGGACTGCTTCCTCCAGGCCTTCTCCTGCTCATCATCCCACCAGCCGCGGCCCTGCAGGTAGTGCCTCAGCCGGGAGATGGGGTGGTCTTGCTTGTCCCAGTAGTTAACCTCATCCACCGAGCGATATGCTGAGCTGTCATCGCTGGTGCTGTGGTGCCCGATCCTGGGGGGGAGGGAAGGGGTCAGACTGCAGCTCCTTGGATGAAGGTCAGGAGAGAGGGGTGGACTATGGGAGAAGGGGTGGAAATGGAATAAAGGTCAGGAAGGGGCTACACAGTACGGGGCTGTGGGATCAATGTGGGGGAGATACTGAAGATGGCGGCTGTCAAGGCAGGGGGGTGATGGGGGTGGCAGGTACCTGTAGGTCATGGCCTCAATGAGGAAGGGCTGGTTCTCTGCCACGGCCCGCCGCCGGGCCTCCTTTGTGGCATTGTACACGGCAAACACATCGTTGCCATCCACGCGGATGGACAGGATGCCATATCCAGGGCCTCGAGCCGCTGTGGGGACAGAGGTAGGTCAGGCCTCAGGGCTCAGATGACACAAGAGCAGGGAGTGGGGAGAGAGCAGAGAAAGGCAGGAGAGCAAACAGCGGTGCTCCCAGGGCAGGAGGCGGAGGGGAAGGAAGGACGCAGGCAGGGTGGGGAGTGGCCGGCGGGCCCATACCGATGCCATCCCCACGGTACTGCTCGTAGGTGGGCGTGGAGATGGCGTAGCCATTGTTCCGGCAGAAGAAGATGATGGGGCACTCGAGTGTGGCAGCGAAGTTGAAGCCAGCGTGGGCGTCCCCCTCACTGGCTGCCCCCTCTCCGAAGTAACAGATGACAACCCTGTTGGCGTTGGCCCGCTTGGCTGCATAGGCCGCCCCCACCGCTGCAGGAGCAGAGACAGGAGCAGAGATAGGCGCGGATCGCATGCGCACTCAGACCCACATACCCCGGCCCTCCAACCCGGGGCTCCAGGGCTCAGGCTGGCTGTGGCCAGGCTCTGAGGGGAAAGAAGACGCCTGAGCTCCTGATTGTCCCCCAAGAAGCTGCTCTACCCAGTCTTCTTCCTTCAGCTGACCCCAGCTCCATCCTTCCAAATGCTCTGACCAAAGACTTGCGCTTCGTTGACTCCTAACTTTGTCATTTCCCACACCGGCTCCACCTTCAAAGTGGAGCCAGAACCTGACCCCTCCTCCCCACCTCCTTCACCTCTCCTCTCCCTGGGGGCCCAGCCCCACCCCTCCCCACCTCCACCTCTAGCCTGTGGCTGTTCCAGAGCAGCCTCCCCACCAGCCCCCACCCACCCAACCTGTTACCCTCAGGGCAGCCAACCTAGGACTTAAAAGGTGAGCCAGGCCAGTCATTCCCCTCCCCTCCCCTGGCTCAGGCTCACTCTGGGTCAAAGTGCCTTCAAAAATCAAAGGCCCAAGACCCCACCTATCCGCACCCTGCCCTGACTGCTCTCCCTCCCTCAGCCCCTCCCTCCACACCTGCTCCATCGATCCTCCCTGCACCTCAAACACAGAGCAAGCACCTGCCCCAAGACCCTGCCTGCCCCCACAACTTCCTGGTCTGTATTTCTGTCACCTGGAGACACCTGTCCCCACCTTCTCCCATCACACACCACTCCCTCAGCTTTATTTTCCCTGTAGACTTTATTGCCCTGACATACTCCATGTGTTACTTCATCCTGTTTTTGGTCCCCCCCACCCCCCGCACAGTGTCAGCACCAGGAGGGCTAAGGTTTTTCCTCACCTCTGTTCACTGTGCCTAGAACAGCACCCAGCACACAGCAAGGACTTCGTACATTGGCCGACTGAGTGACTTAATGGTCACCCAGTTGGAAAGTGAGGGCCAGGCCCCACCTTATAGAAACCTTATGAAATAGAAATCAGCAAAAATGCCCCCTCCTGCCAGAAAGCTGCCCTGCCCACCTCAGACCTCAGGCAAAAACTGTTCCTTGTCCCCAAACAGAACACACTGGGGTGAACGTGCACAGGCCTTCCGACGTGCCGGGCCCTCTGCTAAGCCCCGCAGACACATCAGCACATGTGTCTGTCCTGGAGCAAACCAACCCTCGATCAAGTGCAGGCTCCAGAGGTGGGGCAGGGAGGTCCGCACCTGTGGTCTCTGCGCTGTGTGGCTGCCGCCTGGCCCCAGGCAGGCCTGCTTCGCAAGCTGTGGCCTTTAATAGAAGCCACACCGAGGGTGCTAAGCACCTAAGCATCACGGGCTCCCAGAGTAAGCTTTAGGGAATTAGACTCTGAGGACAGAGGCAGAGCAGGGCTGGGGTCGAGAACCACATGGTTGACAATGTGAGTCCCTTCTCTTGATCCCTGCCAGCGGACCTTCAGTGAGGGGTCTGGTGCATGCTCAGTTATGCACAGTTGGCTGTGCCTGTGAAACGACAGACCTGGGGCGCAAGTGTGGGAAATGGAGAGCGTGATCGTGCCCGCTCAGGCCTGCCGAACGGGGCGTGGACGCCACCACAGCCCTCCAACGGGGACCCCAGACAGGAGGGGTCCTGCAAGCCTATTGTACAGACCAGCACTCTACCCATGGTAGCAACCAGGAAGCCCCTGAAGGACGGAGAAGGGCAAGGACCCGTGCAGGGAAATGCGTCCTCACCCTGAGGGATCTGCGTGGCCAGCGGAGAGGAGATGGTGACGAAGTGGCGCTCCTGGCAGCCATAGTGGACGGGCATCTGGCGTCCCTTGCCCAGGTCGCTCACATTGCCGTAGCACTGGGCCATAAACAGTTCCAGCGGGTAGTCCCGGTACATGAGCACGCCTGAGTGCGGGAGGAGGCTGCCGTTACCATGGCGGGTAATGCAGGGGGCGGGTCAACCCTGTGAGGGTTCCCTGCCAGGCCCTTCCTACCAGGGCTCCCATTTCCCTCCTGTGCAGGAAGGAAGCCGGACTAGAATCGCGGAAGGCACATCGGATGCTTACAGGGACCAGTGGGTGCAGGAAGCAGGTGGGCAGAGGCAGAAAGCACAGGCCTGGCTCAAGAGGGAGGCTGCTGTTCAAAGCAACTCATTGCTGCCCCGGGAGGCCAGATGGTCCAGTTTTTCAAAAGAAGAAATCCAGCCTGCTGTTTTCTTTTTAGAATGAGAAACTACCTGATTTTTAAGTGTGTCAACTAATTCATCTACTTTAAAAAATCATCATATGAACCAAAGAAAAGTATGGGCCACGCTCACGACTTCTGGACTAGAGAAGAAATATTCAAACCTGTTCATGGCAGTAAAACCTTTTCTTGAAACAAAACCCCAGTGGACGCCCACCTCATCATCAAAGGAGCCCCAAGGTGGCACCTCTCTGACCCGGGCCTTGTATCACCGGCTCTGACACGTAAGGGGGATTGTCAGGGGTTCCCCGCAGCAGCTGCAGTGGGACCTTGGGCAGAGACCTCCGCTCTGCTGCGGGGCTCCGGCACTGGAACAGGTCCTTGGCACTCAGGAGCTCAGTGAGCGCTCCCGTTCTGAGTGCCCTCGTTCTCCCCACTTCACAGATGGGAGACGCAGAGCCAGCCAGGCGAGTAGCTGCCCAGCCAGAAATGGGGCCCGCAGTCTGACTTTCCTCCTTGCCCTGCCTGAGTGCACCCCGCACCTGCCTGGATGCAAGGCCTTCTGAGACCCTTGGTACGGGTTGGCCCACTCCTGCGGAGGTGGCCCCTGAGGGTAGAGCCTAGCTGCTGCCCATGACTCCAGGACCCTTGCTCCAGGCCCTGCTTGGAGCCCTCTCCCGAGCCCTCCCTGGCCAGGCCTTGCCTCCCTGCTGAAGAGCTGTCCCACGGTGAGAGGCCCTGGACACAACATTGCCTCTGACTCTTGAGTGCTCATCTTGAGCCAGGCCCTGTGCTGAGGGCTTTCTGTCACCTGCCCTGTGAAGTCCCTCAACTACTGCCTTAGATAAGGAAACCGAATCAAGGAGCAGTTAAGCAACTTGACCAAGATCCTGCAGAACCTAAGAGGAAGAGTCATGGGAAGAGGGAACACCTCAAGTGGTAGAGTGCATGCTTAGCATGCGCGAGGTCCTGGGTTCAATCCCCAGTACCTCCATCAAAAAATTAGCTATATAAACGTAGTCACCTCCCCCCTGCCAAAAACAATTTTTTTAATTAAATTAAATTAAAAAAAAAAAAGAGGAAGGGTCAGATTTGCTTCCCTGGCACTGCCTCAGGGCAGCTCCCTGGCAGGGCCCCCATATCAACAACTGCTCTAGACCCCCACCCTCAGCTCCCCAGGCTCACTCCTTCACCTCCAGTCTCTCCTTATCGCTCATCCATTTTCTTCATTCTTAGTCTTTGACCCTTCCATCCTCTGCTGCATTCATTCAGCAGTTAGCCGCTCCCTGGCCGGGCCCTCCCATTTGTTTTTGCTCTCTGAACGATACAGCATCTCGGGAGAGGCCAGCAGAGTCCTGCACCCTGTGGACAGGGGTCTACAATATGAGCCACGCCTGCAGCTCAGCCTGACCTTGCTGCATGCTCCCAGCAGCCCGACAGTGCATCCTAATCTCTATTTTGGAGATGAGAAGACTGAGGCTAAGAACAGAAGTGACTTGCCCAACATCTGAAAATGGTCACCAGCAAGGCATGGAATGGTTAGAGCACAGGCTTTTAACCACAACACTGCCAGGCCTCTGGGGAAGCCCCTCAACTCCTGCCCCTGGCTTGGCTCTTTCTTGCTCGGAAAGGTCTTCCTCTAGCTCCTCAGCCCTCCCGCTCCTGTAAGAGCACAATGGGTGACTAATGCGGGCCAAAACAGGAGGGACTGATTGGGCCTGACCTGCCTCGATGGGGACCACACACACAAGCCCCTAGCACCTGCTTCACAGGGCCAGGCCAGGGGCAGACGTACCTGCCTCCCGGTACTGGCCAAACACCAGGTCCGTGTTGTCCAGGGCGGCTGCACTCCCCACGTGCGTCCCCTCCTCGCCATAGTTGGTCATGTAGAAAGATATCCGGCCCTGGGGGTGGAGGAGGGCCCAGAGGTCCGGGTTCAGTTAGGCTGGGCAATGACAGAGACACATCCAAACACTGACCAACTTTTGACGACTCTGAATCAACAGATGCTTCCTGAAGGCCGGCTCTGGGCCAGGCCACACTGGCGTTCCTGCTTTCATGGAGAAACTGCCAGGTTGGTTAGAACCAGGGTGATGGGGCTGTGCAGTTGGAGGCTGAAGGGGGACCCGCCCCACCACGGAGAGGCATCAGGGAGCAATGCCTATGCTGAGCAAAGGTGGGGAGGGTGGCAGTTTCTGGCAGAGAGAACAGCAAAAGCCAAGAGGCCAGAAGGACGGAGATATAAAGTGGGAGGGGTGGGGAGACGAGGCGGGAAGCACAGGGAACGACACCCAGAGAGCGCAGGGAACCATACGTCTGGACTTTACCCTGAGGATGGGGTAACCTGCCGACAGCTCTCAGGGGAGCGATGTCTCAGACCTGTTTCTCAGAATGAAAAAACAAAATAGATTTGTCTCTCAGGCTGCTGTGCGGGGAACAACAGAGGAGACAGGACTGAGTGTGTGAGCCAGGTGGGTGGTGGTGAGAAGGCAGGGAGGGGATGGCTCAGAGTCTGGAGAAACTGAGTTAAGTAGTGCAGGGAGCGGCAGCCCCTGCTGACTGGCTCCACCGGTGCCCAGAGCAACTCCCTTCTCCCAAGCCCCCGAATCCCACAGCCTGGAAGAGCAGGTTCCCAGCCTCCTTCACAGCCAGAGGTGGCCGCAGGACACAGCTCTAGCCAGCTAATTTAGTGGAAGTCTGCTTTTGCTTTCCTGATAAAAGAGACTGCTGCGGCTGCTGCCGCCCCTTCCCCGCAGCCCTCCTGCCTGCTCTGCACGTGGCCGTGAAGTCTGGACCTGTGGCAGCCATCTTCTGAACATGAGGCAACAAGCACAGGATGAAAGCCAATTCGCCCACGATGGTGAAGCAGAAAGGTAGGAAGTCTGGGTTCCTGATGGTGGTGCTGAGCAGAATGGCTTTCAAACTAAACTTAGGGACAGAGTGAATGAGGGGGAAAGTGATGGTGAGGGGGCAGGAGGGGACACTGTAGATGTCCAATTTGGGCAAATGGGTGGACGCTGGTGCCCTTCACTGCAAAATGGCCTCAGGGAGGAAGAGGAGCAGGTCTGGGAGGAAGGTGCCACAGTCAAGTCTGGACAGGCTGAGTTTGGTGTGGGACACCCAGGGCAAGAAGCCCAGTAGATCTGGGGCTAAGAGGCAAAGTCTGGCTGGAGACCCGGGGGCCTTGGCACAGAGATGGAAGAAGTAGGAACGCACGTAAAGGCAAACGGAGAGAGCCGGGTGGGCACCCGCAGGACACCCTGTGCCCAGGCCTCACGTGTTCCACAGGCCTGCCTGGCTTTCTATCGCAGTCGGGGAAGCACATGAATAACCCTTTCTTCTAAGTAGGGAGCCAGTTAAAAATGAACTGACCTCCCAGTGCCAAGTGAGTGGGCAGATGCTGGTGCTGAGGGCCTGGCAGGGCTGCTGAGGTGGGTGTGGGGAGGAGCCTGAGAGGGGCCCCCTGAGGAAGCAGGACCTGGGCTGGGGCGGAGGTCACTGGTTGCCGGCCCAGCATCCGATCCCTCTTCCTCATTGCTAACAGATCTCATTCCACCGTAAGCAGCAACTGCCCAGACTAAAAGACTGCTTTCTCAGTCTCCCCTGCAGCTGGGAATGACCCACGATACATGTGATGTTATTTGGTGGGACTACCTAGAAAGTTCTACAAATGTGGGTGTGGGGAGATAGCTGGGTGTTGCCATGTCTGACCTTCCACCTTCCTTCCACTTCCTGCCTGGAATGAGACATGATGGAGGGAGCTCCAGCAGCCATTTGGTTCATGAGGAGCCCCGGAGGCTAGAAGCCAGTGCTGGATATCCAGTGACAACGTGGTTGCAGCCCCAGACAACCTTTTTTTGCATCTCTTTTATGCAAGACTAAAACAACAACAACAACTATTAATCTGCCTACACGACTGCTTTTATTTTTATTAGGACTGGGAGGGTGGTTGGGCCCCGTGCCCCTACTCTCAGTCTCCTGGGAGGGACGGGCTCCATAGCTCCACTCCCTCGGTTCCGGGGTATGGGCCTGTGGTCCCCGGACTGGCTGGTCGGCCACATGGGTTGGTTTTCAAGGAGAGATCTGTGACCAAAGCCTGTCCAGTAAACATTAGCCCTGGGCCTTCTGCTGAAAGATTGGGGACCAGACATTCTCTTTCCACTGCTAAGGAGAAAGGACAATAATGGCTAGGCTGATATTCACAATAAGCAGCTAATATTCACTGTGTGCTGGTTAACTTAGCCAGCACACAATGAATATTAGCTACTTGTGTGGCCACTGTTCCTAAGGCCATTACATCAATCCTCACAGCAACCCCACGAAGTAGCTACAGAAAAGAAGCACTGAGAGGGTAAGCAACCTTCCCAAGGCCACAAAGCTAGAGAGGGACAGAATGAGGGTATCGATTGCAGTCTTGCTCCAGAGCCGGTACCTTGAACCCTTTCTTTGCTGCCTCTCTGTGAGCCTGGAGCTTCCAGAGACCACTGTGGCTTGAGAATGAAGGAAGCCAAGGCAAAGGAGAGGAGAAAAGACAGAAAAAGAGAAACAGTCTGATAACACCTTCTCAGTCCCCTGGGTCCAGCTGTGCCTGAAACAGGCCCTCTGGACTTGCAGTTATTTGAGTCAACAAATTCCATTCTCTGACCCTGCTTTGACGGAGTATCTGTCCGCTGGTACTAACAATGCTGAGTGTACGATCGCAGCGCACTGGACGCGGGCACGCCGGGAGGCACCACAGGCCACAGTTTCTCAAGACTGTGAGCTCCTGAGAGGAGAGGTAGTCAGGTCTTCTCCTGCCTGCCCTCGCCCAGCACAGCGAAGTCCCCAGCCCAGCAGACAGAAGGCTTTCCGTGATTTGGTCCATCCTTCTGCCCTCGGGCAGGCCCCCCACCACCCTGTCCTCCAGAGCCCCAGGAGAACCCCAAGAACTCGAAGGACTTCAAGACAAGGATCTCCATTCCACCCCCTCCTCCTTGGGAGCTGTCTTTTGGCCCAAACACAGGTAGGTAACCTCAGGTAATCCCAAGCGCCCCTCCCCAGCCCGTCCCCACGCACCTGCCTCTGGGACTCATAGAGGATGCGGTCCATGGTGTTGAGCAGCGTCATGCTCTTGTAGAACTTGAGCACCTTCTCCTGGGGCAGCTGCAGATGGAGGCACAGACAGACATGGGCCAGGTAGGACCAGAGAGGAGATGGGCAAGGGGCTTGAGTTGGGGGAATGGAGTCAGAGGGAGGTGGCTCTCACGTGGGGATCCTCGCTGGGGTTGACGATCTGGCCCTGCCGGTCCATGACACGGTAGATGGGGATCCCAGAGATGACATTGGGCTGGATGAACTCTAGCTTGTCTATAAACTCCGCTGAGGCCCCTGGGAACTGGGGCTTGTCATCCAGGGACGAGAAGTGCTGCTGCTGCTGCCTCCGGGGGTGCTGGGGAGACAGGGTGGGGGGCACCCATGTCAGGAGCAGCTCAACCGCACAGCAGCAGGCAGTAAGGCCTGGTGGTTAAGCTGGCATGGCCGCTGTGGTCTCTGGGGCCTGACGCACATGGTTCCCGGCTCTGCCATCTTCCCAGTGTGTGACCTTGGGCAAGTTCCTACTTCTTTGTGTCTCAGCTCCTCACCTGTAAAACTAGGGTGAAAATAACAGTGTCTACTACACAGGGTTGTTGTAAAGATTAATCGATCTAATCCAGTGGCAGGCAGCTCAGGAACTGGTAGCCATTATCATGAGAGGCCCCAACTCTTCACCCTGGCATCCAAGGCTTCCCCAGTCTGACCACAGCTGCACCCTCCTCTCCACCCCCATGGCTACCACAGACACAGAGCGTCCTCGAGTCAGCCAGATGGGCTCTTTACTGACCCCCGTACCCAGAGGGAGGCTGCCCAGCTTAGGTCTGTGAGCTCTTAAGAGTCAGCTGTCAGCCTGCCTGGGTTCAAATCCCTTGCTGGGTGACAACGGGAGTGTAACTCCCCTCTTCAAGTCTCCTCCTTCCCATCTGTAAAATGGAGAACACCTTGTGGAAATGTCGTGAGGCTTAGAACCGTTAGTAGAAAAGGGTGAGCAGAGTATTTGTAAGTAGAGTAAAAGCTTAAAAAATGTGGATTATCGTTTCTACTGCCGCCCGGCTGCTGCCATCTCTATCCTGGGCCAGCCTCCTCCTCCATCACGTGGCAAACTGCTCCCCACACTTTTATGCCCCACCACTCCAGTCCTTACTCCCTCCAGGAGTCCAGACTGACTCAGTCATCAAATACTTGAGCACCTGCTTCGTCCCAGGTATTGAGTTCTGGAGACCTATGAGAGGCAAGACACCTGTCCCTGCCACCCTGCAGGGAAGACAGATGCTGAGCAAGCAAGGATGAGGGGACGAGGGTGATGCGTATTCTCCCAGGAGAAGCCAGGGGGCTAGAGCAGAGTGGAAAGCGGGAAAGTTTCCCCTGAGGAAGTGATGTGAGAACTGAGACCCAAAGGATACCTAGGAGTCAGAGAAAGAGCACGTGAGGCCGGGGAAATAGAACAGATCAAAGGGCAAAAAGTGAGTTCAGCGTGGCTGTAGGAGTCCATGGGAGGAGTCCGTGGGAAGCATCACACCCCCTCGGATCAGAGGCCTGGCGGGGAAGCCCGGCAGACACCTCCATGTGCACCAGGAGGTGAACCAATTCCATTTCTTAGCTCTTGAGCTAGACGGCCTTAGACTGGTCTCAGTGTTGCAACACACCCTTTATTAAGCACTTGGCGGGCGCCAGGCTGAGATCCACGTCCACAACCCTCACCGAGTCCTCGGAGCGTGGCTGTGAGACAGGTTATTTACTATTGCCCTTGAAACCGAAGTTCAGGGAGGTAATGTAACCTCCCTGCGCCAGGCCCCAGAAGTAAAACAAGTCAGTCAGGACTGAGCTTCAGGGCAGGACTGACATCCAGGCCCCCAAAGCCAGCTGCCGTTGCCCACCCGCTAAGCTCAGTCATTCACTTCTAACAGGAGCAAAGGAAGAATGACCGGTTTAACACGAGCTGGATCTCACACGCGGGTGCACAGATGTGCTCCCCACCCTCCCGCCTGTAACTGCAGTGAACAGGCCGTCCCAGGTTCCCGTGGGGGAACACATGTGCGGTTATCTGCGTTTGCGGCTGAGGAAATACAGGAAATTACATTCCCAACGGCAGGGCAGGCCCAGGCCTGACAATGTCATGGAACCAGCCCAACTCCCGCAAACCATGCTTCTCCTTCGTGAGTGCTCACAGGCCGGACCCACCTAGAAGATCCGTTCATCTCGTGTCTGTTCCCCCACACATCACAAGCTCCAGGAAGGCGAGGAGCATGTCCACGTTGCTTTATCGAGCACTCAACAAGCGATTACTGACTGAACTGGTGAATGAGTGATGAAATTCATCAGCTTGGGTTCCAACTTCTTATCTCACTGCACAGCCCTCTGCAAAACACCTTGTCTCTTTGAACTTCCTCATCTGCAAAAAGGCTGCAGAGGGCTGCCACCAAACGTTCCTAAGATAAGGCACACAGAGGGTTCAGCACAGGCATGGGACGTACTATGTGCTCCAAGACTGGTAAAGGGGAAGAAAAAAACACAAAATCTAGGAAGGTCAGGAAATGGGAAAAAAGGAATTGACTGGCACCTTGGGAAGATGGGGGCAAGACGCGCCTGGGAGAAGGCCTGACCGCACCTCAGACTGGATTGTAACTCCAGACCAAGGCCCCCAGCAGACACTCCCGAGAGACTGAGGCATAGGGGAGATGCCTGTGGAACCGGATGAGGGCTGCTGTCTGGGCAGGAGCCCTAGGACAGGAGGCCAGGGGCCAGGAGAGCAGGGTTCGGAACAAACCCCGGGGTCAGGGCAGGACTGTCTGCCTTCAAGGCTGGAAAGCTACTGTCAGGGCACCTCGATGCCCCCGCACCCTGGAGCTGGGCCCCGGCCATGCCCCGTCATCCTGGGCCTATAGAGGTGACGGTGGTACCACCAGTTACTGTGCTGATTCCCTGAGCTACCAAAGGCTCAGACAGTGCCTGGCCCTGAGGAAATGCTCCATTATGGGAGTGAGTGGTAAAATGCCTGCAGAGGAAGTATGCATCTCTGCCATTTTTTCTTTTTTTGAGGGGGGTCCTCTCCTGGTGACCAGTGACTGACAATGGCAGAGGCTACACAGATTTACACAAAGCCTTGAAGCCACATCCCTTCCTACCACACAGGAAACAGGCCTGCTCTGGAAGGCTGGGTCTGGCCCCTCCTCCAGCCACCCCCTATGGCGCCAGTTAAGGTCACGGACTCTGAGCTGACCACTGCCTCCGGGCCCTGTAACTAAACCCAGAGCCTCAGTTTCCTCACAGGTCAACTGAGGGGGGTGTGAGTATCTATCTCATGGGTGCTCATGAAGAGTCAACGAGCCCGTGTGTAGAGAGCTCAGCCCAGTGCCTGGCACATGACGAACACTGGACAAATGAGAGGCTAGCAAGTGCATCTGACAACCGCTGTGGTCAAGGAAGCAGACATTGGATACCTGCTCTAAGTCGGGCCCTGAACTGAGGGCAGGAGCCGATGGGCAGAGGGATGACAAGCCCTGAATACACAAGTTACAACCAAGAGGGGCAATCTCAGAGGAAGCAGGACTGTGGAGGGTTAACATGCAGCAGGGTGGGATGAGGGGCTGGACAGCTAAACAGCCTGGGTTTGAATCCAGCTCTGTCCCTTTCCATCTCTGTCACCTGGGCAGGAGACTGTCTCCCTGAACCTGCATCCTCTCATGGAAATAAGAATTTCTACTTCGCAGGCTTGTGGTGAGGCGGGTGCAATGCACCTGCCGTAGCTCTGGGAGGAGCCTGTCACTGCCAGCAGCAGATGCAGCACAAGGACAGCCTCGTGGAGGAGGGAGGTGAAGCCGAGGCCCGCGGGACAAGCAGTGGTGAGCCAGGCAAAGGCTGGGGGCCGGGAGAACACTTGGGTCCTCGGGAACAACAAGGCTCTGAGGCAAGAGAAGAGACCCTGGCACCCCGATAACAACAGTTAACTACATGCCTCGGCGCCACGAGGCAGCTGCTCTGTTATGCCCGTGTGCTCGCTGAACCCACCCAGCACCCAGGTGAGGCAGGTGCCATTACCACACCTCTGGAAAAGAGGTGGCCCTGAGGCTCAGAGTGGTTAGGTGACTTGTCCAAGGCCACAGAGCTCATGTGTGGTGACGTGAGCATACAAAGCCAGGCAGCCTGCCTGCTACAGGGAAGCTGGAGAGAAAGGCGGGGTTCTGTCGTGGGAGGCTCTGTGATGGAGCCAGTTAAGCCAGATGAAGCAAGGGCAGCTAAGGCCACAGAACCTGCTCTCTGCAGGCTGAGGCACGCTGCAAGGCTGAGCCCCGGCTCTACCTGCAGCTCAGGAGAGTCAGGGACCTCGTCAGCGGCCTCCCTTTCCTGGGGCCTCTGGTGAAGGCGGCCAGGGATGGGTGGAGATGAAGCAGGCTCTCCCCAGCCTCAGGGAGCCACCAAGGGGATGAAGTGGCCTTTTCCTGCATCAGTCGAGGCCACACCAGATTCACTGTCTCTGGAGAGAAACAGCAGCCCCATTTCTTGAGCCCTTACCGAGCGCATGGTATATGTGATAAGTGCTTCATAAGAACTGTTTCCTTTACTCCTCACCACATGTTTCTGAGGTCGGTACTGCTGTTGTCCCCGTTTTACAGAGACTGGTGATGGGGTCAGGAAAGCTTCTCTGAGGAAGTGATCTGTCGGTCAACACCTGAAAGACCAAATCCCTATAGAGGCCTCTTGGTGGGAGGGGCTTGTCCAAGGAAGAGGCAAATGGCCAGTGGGGCTAAAGGACAGGGAAGGAAGGGCACAGGGGCGCTGAGGCCGGTTCTTCCCACCAGCGGCTGATGATACACACTAGGACTAGCCTAAGCAGGAGTTGCAAGACTTGAACCAAAGCCCTATACCTTCTCCTCCAAGCATCCTGAAACTACAGAGAGACTGGACTTTGGAGTCCAGAGCTCCAAGTTCAGACCTCACCTCTCTGAGACTCAGTTTCCTCCCCTGTAATAGAAGAAAACCACCAGTACATACCATGCAGGATGGTAGTACTAAATGTAATAACGGTGTGACTTGGCACTATAAATTATGAAGTGCTTCATTAAGACACCAGCCAAAACAACAAGTCTTATACTGTGTAGCACAGGGAACTATATTCAATATCTTGTAACCTACAATGAAGAATATGAAAAGAAACATACGTATGTATATGTACAACTGAAACATGATGCTGTACACCAAAAATTGACACAACACTGTAAACGGACAATACTTCAATTAAATAAAAAGACACCAATCAAGAGGGAGATGAACCCCTATGGTTTCATGCCACAGTACACACTGGGCACCAACCACCTGGAGATGCCTCACCGGGCCCTGGAGCACTAGAGCCCCCGAACAGGCTGCCTGAACAGCTGGGTTGGATCATACAGACCCAGCTGGAGGAGCTCCCTGACTTCCACCAGAGCACTCACCCTACTTGCTAAGCTCAGGGTAGTAAAGTGACTTGGCCAAGGTCCCACTTGCTTCTCAGGGTGGTGGCTGAGAAACCATCTCAGGACTCCTTGACAATCAAGTTTCCTCCCTCCTCTTCTCCCTGATGACTAAAACTTCAGCTAGCAACTGCAGGGAGAGGGAGACAGAATCAGGCAAATGCCTCCAGGGCAAGAGGATAGTGAATAAAAGACATGAAAGGAGAAGCAAGCAGTCAGGAGAGAAATATGGAAACTTCCTCCCAATCCAACCTGCCCCAACAACCCAATTTGTCCACTATGAAACAGCCTCCCAATCTGCCCCCAAGGCACTCTCTCCCAACTCCACCTTGATTGGCTAAAACTGCACCATCCAATACAGCAGTCACCAACCACCTGCGGCTATTTAAACTCATTAAAAATAAATGAAATGAAAACTTCAGTTCCTCAGTCCCATTAGCCACATTTCAAGTGCTCCGCAGCCGCGTGTGGCATATGGCTACTGTAGTGGACAACAGGGATACAGAACACTCCCATCAACACAAAAAGTTCTATGGGACAGCCCTGGCCTAAAAGCTTCTTTGACTAAAGGCTACTACTCCTTCCCTGCCCTCCTCCAAAAAATCTTTTTTAATCTTAAGAAAAAAAAAGTGAGATAATTAAAAATGGAGAATAAGAAACATGGGCTCTGAAAACAGATAAACAAAAAGCAGGGACTGAATGACCTCCTGCTGCCCCTGCCCACCACGCCAAAAAAATAACATTTTTAAAAAAGGAAGGGAAGCAAGAGGAAGGGCAGCAAGGAGACTGAGCCAGGACGCAGATTTAATCAGCTATAAATGATCTTCCCCTACTCCCACCCCAGTGCAGCCCACCCCCACCCCAAAGGCCAGTCAGTGAGCTCCAGGGAGACCAGATGTGGAGGATGTGATTGCTCCCCAAACACCTGGCACAGAACAGCCCAAAGGCAGGGGCTGTCCCACCTCCATTTTGCTCCAGCAACCCTTCTGAAATTACCTGCTTCAAGTGACTCCCTTCCTAGGTACCCCACACCTCATTCGCAGCCCATCCTCCTCCCCTGCTTCCCCCTCTAGCTACAGCTCTTTCCCACAGATTCCGTCTTCCCTCCTGAATGGTTTGAAGATCAGACGATCAGGCCCAACCCTACAAGATCATGACAGATTTCCCACTAAGGCCCCCACCAATCCAGGCCCTCCCAAGGTCACTCCTTTCCTATCCCCCATCTCCAAGGTCAGTTTCTGTCCTTTTCCTCCACCTTTACTTTCAACAGCCGCCAACATTGCTATTGCCTTTGTCACAAGCCAGGTTCGCCTCTTTGCACTTGACATATTTAATTTTCACAACACTATGAGGTGACCAAGGTTAGCATTTTACAGAGGAGCAAATTAGGTCCAGAGAGGAGCAGTCCTTTGCTCAAAGCTACAGAGCTGGAAAGTGGCAGGTTAGGGGTATGACCCCACATGTCTAGCTTCAGAGCCCACCTTCTTAACCACTACTCTCTTCTATGTAAAATCTTAGTTCACAGCTTTTCTGCAGCTCACTGCCTCTCTCCCTCTGAACAGAGCTCCTAACTAAACTTCTGCTTGCCACTTAGCATCAACCTAAAGGGAGCCTGACCCTTTTGACAAGAAACAAGGCATTTCTCAAGTGTTTCTAAGAAATGTGGGCAAAGTGCTCTGTCTAGACCTCTCTCTCTTCTCTTCCCCTCTCATTAATTCAACAAATATTTACTGATTCTCTCCTCTGTATAAACAGACAAGGGCCCTGGCCAGGCATTCCACCTGAGGGCACAGATCAAACGACTTTTTAACCAATTCATTTTAAAATCAGAATTAGAGCAAAGAAACACAACGCACTATAAAAGCCCGTGATGAGGGACCTTCTCTCTTTTCTCCTCTTTGAAGGGGGTGTTTCTACCGAGAAGAAAGTCCTTCTCTTACAAACGCAGTTTCACTCTCCAGCCCGAGGGAAAAAGTCACATCTTCCTCCTGCGGCCTCACCGGGTGATAGATGGCAACTAATGAGAAGCCCCCTAGCTCTCTCCAATTATCTCCCTCCTTCAGGGTCTACAAAGGACCTGCGGCGCTTTTCCTAAGAAGTGAAAGTTCCTCCCTTGTGTATCCTCTCCAAGTGGTTCTCCCAGCCCTCGTCCCTCCCGTAACAATTCATCCTCCACTCCCTGCCGGGACCCCTACACTCTGAAGACAGCGTTAATGTCCCTATGCCTCCTTGCGGAAAACTCCCTGGTGTCCCAAGTACTCACAGATCTAGCAAGCCCCCGAGCCCCAAGCCTCCGCAGGACCAGGAGGCCGACCTGGCCCAAGCCTCGACTTGGCCCCCAAACCCTCGCCGCAGCAGCTGCCAGCGCCATCTTGACTAACAATCCTTGGGCGACCCGCCCCCTCTCCTCGCGAGACTGGGGAGACTGAGGCTGCCCCTTCATGAGCCTGACTCAAATGCCAAATTACCCTGCCAAGAAACCACCTGCTACTAGTCCTGTGGTCTGTAGGACACATATGTAGGGGGATAAAACAATACAGCTTCCCCCAAAGTTACTCAGACCGCCTCGTCGTAGTTGTTTCTGTAACAGGCAAAGAAGAGGGCAATCTGCCTAGAGCCCCAGTGTTTCAGGGCCCGGGGGCCTCGGGTAGGACGAGCTCATGCCAAGGCCCGCCCTCTTTTCTCTTCTGTCCAATGGCTTTCCTGGACTTTCGAGGGGGGAGTGGGAGAGACCAGATTGTTAGTAAACGCGGAGCCACGTGTAGGCACGGATCCTGGAGCCGCCGGCGGCGCGTGCGCACTGGGTACGCAGTGTGTACGCAAGCGCGCGCTTCTGTGCGGAAGCGAGAATCCCCGCTGCACGTGGGGTCCGGGGCGATGGAGGGGGCGATGCAGAATGAAGCCAAGATCTGCGCTGAGTCTAAAACAGAGTCCGGCCCTCGGGGCCCCGGCTGTAGCCTCCGGCACTTTGCCTGCGAACAGAACCTGTTGTCCCGGCCTGATGGCTCTGCCTCTTTCCTGCAAGGTAAGAACTTAACCCAAGTGGTATTCGTTTGAGGGGGTGGTTACAGTGTACTCTGCTAGCTGGTAAATAACCCTCCTGGACTGGTGCGGTTCTTACCCGGGTGGATACTACTGCATACGCCAGCAGACATACCTCTCCCTCCCGACTAGAAAGGAGATATCTCCACTTGGTAAGTAGTGCTCAAAATGAAAGAGGGGCAGACCTCCTCTTAAGAACGAATACTCGGAATAGGGAAAATCTCTTCACCTGGGTAACTGTCTCCCTTGACTAGGTTCCTTCCCGGCCTCCCACACACCAACCGTGGGTCCATACATCCCAGACTGAGGCAAGCCCATTTGTTTGCATAAATACCCGGTAGTCTGGCAAATCACCACTACGAGTTTAATTACTCCCTAGATACGTGGCAGATCTTTTACCCAAGTAAATACTTTTCAGATTGCGGGTGATGGCCCCAGCCCCCGCCCCAACAATTGGATAAATATCCCTTTGCCTGGGATACACAACTCTCCATATATCCCTAAGACTGGGGCAGGTCTTACTTATTAGGTAAATATCCCCTTCCGCTAGCTAAATACCTCTCCAACTAGACTCAACTCCCTGACCTGGGTAAACATTCCTCTGGAGATAGGCCTAAGGATCACCCCTATAAATGCTTCAGGCCCCTCTCTAGGGTATTATCTTAAACCCAGGTACAAAGCCTACTTTCATTCATTCCTTGGTTGAACACCTGCATTTTTGCTAAGTGCTGCTCTAGGGACTGAGAATACACAGATGAAAAAATTTTTTAAATCCCTGCCCTAACAGAGTTTGCATTCCAGTCAGAGAGACAGACAAAAGGTAACTAAGTAAAATATACAGCAAAATACTATGGAGAAAAATATATCAGGGAAGAGGAATAGGGTATGCCAGAGAGGGTTGCATGCAGTCTTAAATAGGGTGTTCGGGAAAGGCCTCACTGAGATGGCACCATTTCAATAAGGACCCAAAGGTAAGGGAACAAACCCTAAAGAGATCAAGAGGAAAGCTTACCAAGCACTGGGAACAACTGGGGTAAAGGCCCTGAGGCAAAAACTTGCCTGGTGTGTTTGAGGAACAGTCAGGAGACAAGTGTGGCTGCAGCAGTGACGGGAGGTTGGAGAGAGGTAAGGACTGCCCGTCATATATGGCCTAATGATGAGAACGGAGCCATGTGACATGATCTGAATATATTTTAACAGAACCTCTCTGGCTGCAGTGTTGACTATAGAGGATCGGAGGGAGGAGGGGGACGATGGTGGCTCAGACCATAGTGGAAGCAGGCGGGTAGTGAGATCCTGGGTGTGTTTTGAAGGTAAAATTGACCAATGTTGCAGATGGTTTGGTTTGGAGGTATGAGAGAGTCAGGGAGAACCCTAATGTTTTTTTCTCCTAGATCAGCTGTGCTAGCTGAAGATGGGTTCAGTTTGGAAGATTAAATTTGCAGTGCTTGGTAGAATCTGAGTGGCAGTGTGGACTGGGCGGTAGTACATATGAGACTGGAATTTGGACTCCGTCAGCTATAGGTGGTATTTCAAGCTACTGACTGGTTGGAATTACCACCAAAATTAGTATAGATGGAGAAGAGAGGAGGTCTCAGGACTAAGCCCTGGGTCTTCCAGCTTGTGCAGAGCTAGGAAAAGACACTGAGGAGGAGTAGCCAGTAATGTAAGAGGAAATCCAAGGGAGATCAGTGACCTGGAGCCCAGAGAAGAATGAGTTTGAAATGTAAGGGCCAACCAGCTGCCTCGGTCCTACTGAGAGGCTGCATCACATGAGGATGGGAGTGGCCTGTGGGTTGACAACTTGGACACAGATCCTGGATGGCACTGTCGAGCTGCTCCAGTGGAGTGGTGGGGTCAGGGAGAAAAAGAAAGAGTCTGTGAGTGGAGACGGCTCTTCAGGAGCTTTGCTGTAAGAGGATCAGCTAAATGGGGCTGGAGTTAGATGGATGTAGGGTCCAGAGGGGAGGGAATTGCTGGAGCCATGTCCTGGAGAAGGTGAGAGCGGAGGGACCCCTACGCTCAGGTGAACCACAGAGATGTTACTCATCTGGAGTAACAGGAAGACCCCATTGTGGATCTAGTTCTGTTTGGGTAATTTCCCCCTTCAGGGCACAGCCTCCGAGAGCCAAGAGGAATCCCCCAATTACATGGCAGCTCCTCTTTCCCAACCCCAGTGGGGGGCGGGGAGGCCTCACCCGGGACTTTCCCAGAACCTCCCCCAGGCTGAGCTCTTGCTAAATGCAGCTGCCTGGAGTTTTTTAGAGCTTAAGAACTACTGAGCCCCTTCCATATTCTAAAGCCCCAAAGCCCAGGACCCTGGAGCAGGGTTCTGTGCAGACCTTCAAAAGTGTGTCCCACATGCCTGTGACCTCAGACCCTCTGGTGAGGTTAAAAATGCAAAGCCCCAAAACCTGTTCATGCCAACGGAGGCTGGCCCTCTACGCTGTAAGTTAACTGCTGCGGTGATTCTGATTGCAGGCCAGTGTTTGGAAGCTGTGCTCGAGAGAGAGCTCCATGTCTTCCCTCTACAGGTTGCAGGCGCGGTTGCACATTAGAGCAGCTTGCAGAGCTCAGAGGCTCCTGGGGAAGGGGCCTGGGCATCAGAATCTTTTAAAGCTCCGCCGTGAGTCCAGTGTACAGCCAGGGTTGAGAATTGCATTTGTTAATGGTTCTTTTAACCTAGAATGGAGAATATCAGAGTGTATCAAAGCAGTAATAGTAAGAGTTGTTTTGTGAGGCTTTCATTCCATTTACATACACACAGATGTGTGTGTTGGATCCTGCTCTAAAATCTCTTATGGGGAGTTGCGGTTAGCAAAGCCTGGAAGCTGCTGTTACAGTCCAGTCTCTTCATTTTGCAGATGGTAAAACTGAGGCCCAGGGAAGTGAGCAAAATGCCAGGAGGAAATCAGCAGGAGTCAGGACCCACCCCCAAGACTGTTACCCCTTTCTCTCCACTGCTGCAGAGTCTGGGGACGTAAGCTTGAAGGAAGAGAGCTGGGCTAGGGGAAGCTTTGGAAGGAGAAGTTGGGACCACAGCAGTAAGAGGAAGGAAGGTTAGCGCTTAGGAAGGACTGCACGTTAAAGTTGATAATAATAGCAAAAGTCTGTTGGGCACTCAGCACTTCCCTGGCAGTGTTTTTCTTTTAGATTGTCTCATTTAATCCTCACAGGTAGGGGCAGTGGAGGGTACTGTTATCCTCATTGTGCGGATGAGGAAGTGAAAGCAGAGAAACGAAGCAAGTGTTCAAAGAATCACTGCCAACAAATGGTAGGCCAGAGTGGGGGTGATGTGGGGAGCTCTGGCCACCTGGCTCAGTCCCCACACTGTTAAGTGCCGCACATTGGGCCCCAGAGTCAGGGAAGATGTGGATGAGGCCTCCTGTGCTGTCTCCCCAGGGGATACGTCCGTCCTGGCTGGTGTGTACGGGCCAGCCGAGGTGAAGGTCAGCAAAGAGATCTTCAACAAGGCCACCCTGGAAGTGATCCTGAGGCCGAAGACCGGGCTGCCTGGTAATTGGGCCAAGCTGGATCTTCCGATGTCCACTCTGTTGGGGCGTCTTGCCCGGTGTCTCCCTGACTGCTGTCCCCAGTCTCCACTCCCCCTCTCCCTCCCCTCAGCCATTTCTGTCTCTTTCTCCAGCTCTCTGCCTGAGTCTCTGTGTTCCTGTCACTTCTCTCTCTCAGTCTTCACTTTCCCCTCCTTTCTCCGGGCTCCATCTCTCCTTCTTTCCATTAACCTGTTTTTCTGCCCTTTTACGCTCTGTCCCCCTCACTCCCCAGAGCTGGGCCCATGGGGATGGGAGTAGACAGCAGCACTGGATTTGGGAGCTCTGAGGCTCTCTTTCCCACCAGGAATCCTCTATCATCCATGCAGGGTCTTGTACTAACCAGGGCTGAGACTTGCAGGCCCTTTCCAGAGGGTTTGGGTGGGGCATATGGAGGAAGGTGAGCCAGACGGGAGGGAAGCGCCTGACCACCCCTACCCCTCCCCTGATTTCCCCAGGCGTAGCAGAGAAGAGCCGAGAGCGACTGATCAGAAACACGTGTGAAGCAGTGGTGCTGGGAGCCTTGCATCCCCGCACCTCCATAACTGTGGTGCTGCAGGTTGTCAGTGATGCTGGCTCTGTATCCTTTCCCCCAGGCCACCCCCTCCAGGAAGTCCTCCAGAATCTCTGATTGGCCCCCTTACTGATGGCCATGTATGCACCCTCTACTAGTCTGTTTCACAAGCACCAACTTGTTGTAGAACAGCAGGCACGGCTTGAGTGCTTACTACATGCCAGGCACTGTTCTGAGCACCTTATACCTAACTCATTTAATTTGCACAGTAGGGTCAACTTATAGTTCTAGTAATTGGCAGG